TATATATATATATATATATACACACACACATATATAGCACATCCCAGAAACTGACCAGCTTGTGGCTACTTGGTTGGAAACCAAAGTGGAACACTTTGGGAGGTGATCACATCTCGTACTCAAACTGGCTCTAGAGCCAGGACCAAAGCAAGGCTATGCTCAGCTGTGGATGTGCACGTCCCTGGACAGGCTGGGCAAAGCTCCTGGAGGCTGTGTAGGTCCTTGTGCGATGGGCAGTATTAGGCGGCTGGGGGAGTGAGTGAGGGGGACTCGTCTGAAGTCACAGAATAGGGGCTTGTGGGAATAAGCAGATGAAGGAACTACTTTGGTAAGCGACTGGGGTCTCTCTGGCTCTTTATTTGTTTACTGTCTCCCCTCATTAAAGAGGGCAGGGGGATATGTCTGTCTTGTTTCTTCACTGCTATACATCCAGTACTTGGCACACAGTAGGCTCTAAATAAACATGCTGAGGGGGCGCCTGGGTGGCTCCGTCAGTTAAGCATCCTACTTCAGCTCAGGTCATGATCTCACGGCTTGTGAGTTCGAGCCCCGCATCAGGCAGTGTGTGCCAACAACAGCTCAGAGCCTGCAGCCTGCTTCGGATTCTGTCTCCCTCTCTCTCTGCCCCTCCCCTCCTCACGCTCTGTTTCTCTCTCTCTCAGAAATAAACAAATATTGAAAATAATAATAAAAATAAAATAAAACTCACATAACCATGCTACCACATAAACAGGCCACATACTATTCATCCTAAAAAAAACAAGGACTCCTGCCTTTTGGTCACTATTTCTTTTTGTGTATCACTCTGCGGGTGAGATGTACAATTAGTCAAGTGCTAAAGATATAGCATGTTTTCCAAGAAGCAATTGTATCTTCATAATACAGTACTGAATTTCTAATTTACCCTGAAGATGTTAAGTTTTGTGATTCTAGGGAAGCTACATGCATAATTCAACATTAAAAACTAACCTAAGATCAAGAGAAAGTATGCAACAGTAACTAACAGGATTGTATGCTTAAGGAACAAAAGTGACCTTGTGCCTCAAAGAGGGAACCAGATGTATAACATTCAGACATTCCTCTGGTCAACTGTTAACACAAACTGGTTGTACTGGCAGAGATCCTGATTTCTCAGAGCTCAAACAAGTCACGCCCCATGAATCTAACCTTAAACCATAAACAAACTGGAAAGAGAAAAAAAGTGCCATAAACCAAAGGCAATGTAGAAGTCCATGAACGTATTTCAAAAATGTGACTTTGCTTAGGAAATCCAGTTTGGGTGTCTCTTATTTCAAGAGGTAGTTTCAAAAACATATACAGTGAAGTTGTCTTTAAATTTCAAATTTATTACAGAATCCTGTCCCTTTGTGGAATAAAGTATTTGGGATTTGAATTCAAGTTATTCACCCATGTTCCAGGCAGCTATTTTGCTAAGTAGAATATATGATCGGGTTTCAAAGAAACAAAAGAAAAAAACCAATTTCATAAAGTCTACGCTAGACAGCTCATTTCCCCATACAATGGCCTCCTTTCTGGACATTTCTAACATTTAATGTTAGAACACTGTGTGCTATGTTTAATACACTGATGACAGAACTAATCCACTGTCAACAGAGAAGTCACCCATATGTTTGGGACAAAGGAAAAAATCTGGACAGCAAGAGGTAAAGGCTCACAGATACTTCTTATCTGAGTCACTAAGACTCCAAAGATGTATAATTTCCAACCAAGTCCAGTTATTCATTTTACACTTGAAAATGAAAATAAGAGGCATGGAAATGATTGGAAAGGCTTCTTGTTTGTTTTAAAGAAAATATTATGAGAGGCACCTGGGTGGCCCAGTCAGTTAAGCGCTCACCTTGGGCTCAGAGTTCGAGCCTGGCACTGGGCTCTCTATCAGCACAGAGCCCACTTCAGATCCCCTGCCCCTCACCTCTCTCTGCCCCTCCCCCACTAATGCTCGCTCGCTCTCTTAAAAATAAGCATTAAAAAAAAGAAAACATTATATGAAAATTAAGCAAGTTTCACACACGACGGAGGACCAGAAAGTTATAAAACATTTCTGCCCCATCTTCTTAATCCCCAGTCTTTCTTCTGTGCAGTAATTTTCTCATTTTTAAAACCCTACTACCAAACTTGCGGCTCAAGTAGCAGAGATCTTCAAAGGAAGAAAAAACAAAGGCCTTTTGACCACTCCTTGGCTCCTGGACTGAAAAACAGCTCCCTTGTTTTGATTGCGATAGGAGATTCAGTGGTATAGACTGAAACTCAATCACCCTTACAAAAATGAGAAATTCTGATGACGTATGTACTTCTTCACTCTTTAAAGCTAAAAACAGCTGGTATAAGAATTCTCCATTCTTTCATTCTGGAAACTGAGCTATAGCACCTAAAAAAGCCTTTTACCTTTTTATTTTTATTTTTTTAAATTTTATTTTAGAGAGAGAAAGCACGAGCAGGGGAGAGAGGCAGAGGGAGAGAGGATCTTAAGCAGGTCCCACACTCAGTACAGAGCCTGATGTGGGGCTCAAGCTCATGATGGTGAGATCATGGCCTGAGCCAAAATCAAGAGTCGAATGTTCAACCAACTGAGATCATGACCTGAACCAAAATCAAGAGTCTAATGTTCAACCAACTGAGCTACCCAGGCACCCCAAAGCCATTTACCTTTTTAACTAGAAGAATACAGACTAAACAAGCCAACTGTTGAAAGCCTCATCGACTACGCCCTAAGGTTGAGGCAGTCAAACAATACCATCATCATTTAGCAAATGAGCTTTAAACGCTTCAAGTTGCACTCCAACAAGTGACTGAATGGCCACATAGCTAAAATTCATGGTAATGACTTGTTGTCAGGAGCAAATTTTGATCTATGCCAACAACTAGAACTGGGTCATCCCCACAAACCTCTTTGAAAAACCTTAGTGCAAAAGCCCTAGGAAATAAATGCACAGATTCAGAGTCACAAAGAACCATGGCTTTTCATCACATGATCAGAACTGCTGTTTCCTCCCTCTTGTGGGCACTAAACAGTTCCACCAACACTGACACTTCCCATATAAAGAAGTCTCGGGAAGCTACAGAGATCTCTTTAAGAAAAGATAACCTTTGGTTCTAAACTCTAAAAAGAAGTCAGTAAGGATGAATTTTATGGTATGTGAGATAGCTCTCAATGAAAAAAAAAAAAAAGAAACCATACGGCCTTTGAATACATTTGAAATGGTCATTCTTTCCACAAACTGATTAATACTCAGTTTTTTCTGGGGCTTGACTCATTCCGTACTTCAGGGAAGGGGAGAATGTAGACAAGCATTGGAAACCTCTTTACAATAGTTCAATTACAGGTCTGCCATTGCCGGCACTCATGAGGATTAAGAATCCTCGTTAGCGGGGCGCCTGGGTGGCTCAGTCGGTTAAGCGTCCAATGTTGGCTCAGGTCACGATCTCATGGTTTGGGAGTTCGAGCCCCACATCGGGCTCTGTGCTGACAGCTCGGAGCCTGCAGCCTGCTTCAGATTCTGTGTCTCCTCTCTCTGCCCCTCCCCAACTTGTGCTCTGTCTCTCTATGTCTCTCAAAAAATAAACATTAAAAAAAAAAAAAAAAAAAAAAAAAAAAAAAAGAATCCTCCTTGGTATTCCAAAAATATATGTTGAGGAATTAACTTACATATCTTAAAATAGCTTTCAAACAACAATTTATACAAACTATGTTACCTCTTCAACTAGGTGTTATTACCATACTTTGATACAGTATGTTAAAAAAATTATCTTGATTGTAATTCTAGCTCAACTCCTGTTCATCAAATAAACAAGTCATAATAAAGAATGGCTACTGGCTTCAGAGTGAGATATTTAAACAAAATGAGTACGCCTAAACTCCTCACAACAGTAAAGTATAAAGTAGTACAAAGGCAATTTCTGGCTAATTATAAGATTTCAATTTGTGCCAAATAAGTTACACTTGTATTGCCAGAAGAACAAAGCATCTGTACAGTTTTTATGTAAATGTACTGAGCAGCAGCAAAGTGTGTTTGTTCTTTTCCATCCTAGGATACTATTTCTAGATGTTACATAAGGGAACAGCTCCAATGACACAAAACTGTAAAAGTTTCACAACAATCATGTTCCACAAATTTCTTTTTCTCTTTTTTTTTTTAGTGTTTATTTATTTTTGAAGGAGAGAGAGAGAGAGACAGAGTGTGAGCAGGGGAGGGGCAGAGAAGGAGGAAGATACAGAATCCGAAGCAGGCTCCAGACTCTGAGCCTGCTGTCAGGACAGAGACAACGAGGGGCTGGAACCCGCGAACTGTGAGATCATGACCTGAGCCTAAGTCGGACGCTCAGGAGCACTGAGACACCCAGGTGCCCCCACGAATTTATTTTCCAATCATACATGTTATAAATACCAAGAATAACTTCCTGTTATCTTCGAAAAAAGCTACTCACAAGAGAAATGTACTTACAAGAGATAGCAGCAAACTGAACAGGTTACCAGCATGGTGATGATAACTCTAAAAACAAAACAAAACAAAACAAAACAAAACATCATTACATAACCAGCAAACTAAGCAGACACTGCAGGATGGTTTAAGCCTCCATCCCAAGTTATCAAACTGGCAAGGACTGTGCACCAAGAAAAGTGATCTAAATCTGTTCAAACATCAATAGACTGTACTCAGTAGAGGTTTAAGTAATTAACATTTTTATTTAAAGGGATATGTATCGAGGCCAGAGTTTAGATGGCTAATCCCAAACCCATCTAAACTGAACACAAAAGGCTGCAGTGACAATTAGTTTTGACATCCAAGAAACTTCATTTTTGGTAGTTTTCAATGAAATGACCCTATACTTGTATTTTACTTT